ACCGCGATTCCTTTTTGTTTTGTGACATATCATTTGTGACTAAACTCATCTGACCGCTAATGATTTGGGATTCCCAATTAATGAAAACTCTATGGGGAGAATGTTCTATTGATAACGACATCTGCGATAGGCGTTAATATCCATTTCTGGGTACCATTCAAGACATTGGCTTTCAATCAGTTAAGCCATCAATGTGACACTATTTCGAGATGAAGAGCAATGAATCGAGACTTCTCGTTAGTATACAATCAATTATAATACAGAAAAAAAGCGCTCCCAATTCGGAGCTAATGCTGGGAGTGCAGAGCTTTCATGGAAAGCAGTTTTCTTACAAGAAGGAGGAGCGCCCGGCGAAGCCGGGCGACACCATAAGAAGGAGGGAAGCCTGGCGTTAGCCGGGCGGCCCGACTGGTTATCAATAAAGAAGTCAGCCGTTATCCCTAGCCAAGACTCCATACTCTGTAAAATCACTCCTCCGACCACTTGAAAATGTTACAAATGACAGTGATTGCACTCCATCTGCAACGCTTTCAGAAGTGCCATAAGTTGGGATACAGATAGCCCTTGACGTCGCCCAAGAAATACGAAGTCCGTATACGGCAGCGTGAATCAAGGCAGTGGTTGTGCTCCTCGCCGGAGCAATTCGTATAACAGCACTCCCCTCGAATCCCGGATTCAGCACAAAAAAATTTTCCTGGTGTGATCTTTCACTCGTCTGGCAAAAGCTTCCCTTTGAGAGACCATTATGGTAAGATGTCAGCCGTAATATGTCGTGCCTAACTCTCCCTTCACTTGCTGCTTTCATACTTCGACGTGCGTGCCGCACGCAGGTGGAATCGCAGGTAAGTCTTGCGTGCGGTGTGCGACCAGCTATGCGACGGCGGCACTAGAGAGGTGTTGACAACATTGAACGCCGATGGGTCACGTGCCAACGCTGTCACACACTTGGAAGCGCCGCCGTCGCATAGCCGCACGCCGCACGCAAGATTGTACCTGCGATTCCGTGCCGGCACGCACGTCGAAGTATGAAAGCAGCCACTCACCAGAACTTAGAAAAATACCGTTGGAAGCAGAAGGAGGAGAGGCTGAGCAATGAACACCAGGAACCTCATGATGCCATGTTTCAGGGTATGACGGGCGAATCAAATCCGTTTTTTTTGTAGTTGAGAGTGACGCAATCGTGGATTGATGACACATTTGTAAATAGTTTCGATTTCAAAATCTTTGAATCCACATTACTATGCATCCAATCTCACGCAATTTTCTTCGTCACCTCCGTCTCAAAGCAGTATTTTTTTGCGCTAGACCTAAAGACTCATTTAGCCTGAAAATGTTCACACCTTGTTTTCCGGTGACATGGTCCCTCTTTGTCGTACGGTCCATTCCCAACCCCAACAACGCTTACTAAAAAGGTACATCTGCACTTATTGAGGCTAGATGACCAAAGCGTCTACACATTTCGAGTTTTTAGTAGTCGTTTGCAAATGCAATAGAACTACAATTAGAATCGTGACACATCTTAACCCACGACTTTATTTAGCCGTCAAGCAGTCGCGCGTCATCTGTACAAATTAACTACATAAGAGAATGTAGATACGCCGACCACATAAAAAAATTAAACAGATGTATAGATGATGAGACAATAACGCGATATCACGGATTACTTACCACGAAGAATGAAAAAGCAAGAATCGATTCGAAAGGACTAATTAAAGAGTGGAATAAAAGAATATATAGTCTGACGAGAATTTGAAAGCGAATGCGAAGAAAGTGGAACTGTATCTCGATGTTGTGATTATGCGGTCAGCTTCTCGTCCTTCTCTGAGTAATCTGCCGCCATTCCATTCATTACTCAACAGATGGAAGCTGTGTTGGTTGCCCATCGTGATGCTAAAAACAACTTACAGATTTAGTCGGAATCTCTGAGGCTTTAAGAGTAAAACTGATAAACACCCAGCGTTGGTCTTGTAAGACATTAAAGCTTCAATGGGAACCCAACACCACACAAGCTTGAGATGAAGTGATTTGAGTACCTCGCCCTGCATAGGCCTCTTTACAGAGCATAACGAGGGGCATTATATGTGCGCACGACCTTTATGAGCAATTCACGATCAAGGAAACTCTGACTTTTGTCGAGGAACCGAAAACAAGTCGAAGCAGCCCTTTATGCTTTCTTGTTTTTTGATACCTAGAACCAAACGGCCACCAACCTCCGGAATGGGTCCAACCCCTCCGTGAGAAATCTAGAAAAAAGTTTCTGGGTTTCGGATGCAGGGCACATATTCGAACCCTTCCTGGACTGAACAAAGAGGAAATTGATGTGAGCCAGGCGGAATAAAATAATGGCTTAAAGATCATCGAGGTCAATTACTGTCAAAGACTTATGAATCTCTGAATGGTTAACGCCTTTCTAAAAAAATACTAAATTCACTCATAAATTTTCAGAAATAGTTGATAAATAGAGAATCTCGAGCGCCATATTTCAAAAAGCCGAACTGCTACTACGATTTGAAACCGAGGCCAATTCTGATCAACTTCCTCTGAGCTACGCAAGTTGGCATGCCTTCGCAAAGAGGGCGTAGAAACAACAAACTCCAAAACAAATAAAGTTGAGAGGTGCTGCAATTATTGCAAAAATATTACAACCAATAGCACTCCCTCCGAAGTTATTGGGTCACATTTCTTAATGCGGGAGGAATAAAATGGGTGATAGATTACTTTCTGCTCGTGAAGTTATTTAGTAAATTGTAAAATTACCATTTTGTTCGCAATACACGGAAAAATTATGACATTACGCCTCTTACCTTACCATTTGTCTATCTACATAGGAGTACCAAGCAATAATATTACAATAAAATTACTTCAAAGAGGCTCACAAAGAATATTTGATTTTTCAATTGTAATTCACTAAACTGCCTCGCAAAGTTAAGCAAACTCTTCATAGAGCGCCTTTGAAGCAAAACACATTTCATCACAAACCTGAACGTGAGGCATTGGGCTAAGTTTGCAATGCACCGCTGGATTAATGATAGATGCCTTTCTCTGGGGCACAGTGTCAGGACGAGGGATCTAAAAGGGCAAACCAATGAAAACGAAAGTAAGGTTGGGAAAAATAAGGATTAACTCACTTGAAGATTCGTTTCACCATCAGGAGAAGTGGGATCACCAGAAACGCAAGATGTCTTAGGGATTGGACGAGTTGTAGACAAGGCCGTTGGAGCTGCCATTGGATGAGGGAGGCGTCCACTAGGTACACCTTGTTTGCTGCGATCTTTGTCCATGGCATAGTCACCGGAGTCAAAGAATTTCTAAACTGCTATCTTCTGATCAAAAAAAAATTCAGTCTTAGGGCATCAGTTGTCTTCTACAAGCCATACATTCACTAAGGTCTATTCGCTAATTAACAAAAACTTGTGCACCGATATACTTGAAAGTATAACAAGTAGAACTTTTAAAAGTGATGATCAAAATTAAATTCATTGAGATTACTAAAACTGTGCCAAACATGCCGGAACATGCTGAATTTTTATTTTATTATACGCATAAAGCTACACTTTGAATATCTAAAAACACTACTAGTTACTCATACAATTGCTTTATCCTATAGCCTTTATGGAATGTCTTTATAACAAGTTTGTAGTTACTTATTATCGAAAGAGATCCGTTTTGCAAGTTAAATGAATCCCTACGAAACCATTTCGTTCATGCAGTGTTATTCCTCATGTTGACTTTTTATTATGGGTCTTTTTATTATCACCAACCCTTTGCTGCAGTTTCTTCTGTAAAAAGGAGGAAGCGGGTCGAGCGGGTAGCCGACCTTGAGAGGCTAACTTATTCATCAATTGTTGCTCTTGCTGTTTCTCCACCGATAGCCCTTCTTCCAGGTCTTCCGGTACTTCATTTCCCATCTCGCTTCGCATAGTGCTGATTTATTGCTGAAATAAAGACGCAGTCGGTAGGTGCCTTCAACTAAAAAAGTAATATACGAGAAGCAAAGTAACTGTGAGTGATGTGACATGAGCAACTGTTTATCTCAAAGAACAATGGCCATATAAGGGAGGCACCATTGATTTTCATGGGCAAAACGTTGTCATTGAAAAGGCAATTTAGCCGCAGAGCTGCAGAGGATGACAAGGTAGAGGGAAAGAGTAAACAAATCGCGCGAGTGACACTCGACGGGACGTAGGAGATGAGCAGTCACAATGGGAGATGCAACCAAAGGTTTTCTGAACTGCAGTAAACTGAATCACAACATTTTCCAGACGCTGTAATTTATCTACATGCGGACTGATTTGACATTTGACAACTTCATGCCTATGGCGAAATACGTTAAGTCCTGTAAGCTTTGCTTAAGTTTGACTCGATCGAATAGTTAGTCGCTGATTATACAATGTAGTCAGTAAATGAAAGTGAGTTCAAAATACGTTCCCTGAACCATGAACAAATCAAAAATCTTCACTTGGTATAGCTGTTCAAGCATTATTTAAGCAATATCCTCAATTGCGCAAAATAGCCTAACAAAATTGACCGATGACTACCATTAGCGTTTATTTCTCGTCAAATACAGTATGTCCTTTCAGTCATGTCCGTCAAACGAAACGGAAGTTCAGCGATTAAGCTAGGCATACTCCTTAACTCACTGATGACAATCATGTCTGCCAGAAAAAGTGGACTGCAGCCCTCATGTGGACTACATGGTCCAGGACGACCTTTTTTTAAAATTTTGTATTGGGAGTTAATTTTATCTGAATTCACAAGGCTAACGATGATGGCAGACGGAATGACAGACTTAGATTTTAGACAGCTGCTGAAGGATTCTGATGAGGAGCAGTTCCTCACTCACTAATTCGTTTCAGAGGAAGAATCTTCTAAAGGCCACATGTTTCTTTGAAAAAACATCGGTATGGTATCCAAATTAGTACGGAAGGTAGATACACTCCAAAATCAAAAGCATAAATATAAATAGGATGTTTATGGTTATCGTTATTATCTGTAAATTTGCAAAATTAGAAGATTTCCTTGGGCCACGCAGTATATAGTAATCATGTATTTCACTTAGGCCTAAATGTTTATGGTTATTGTTATTATCTGTAAATTTGCAAAATTAGAAGATTACCTTGGACCACGCAGTATGTAGTAATCATGTATTTCACTTAGGCCTAATTTTATGTTTTGAGAAGAAAGATCGTTGAAAAATACAACTGTCCTATAGTCCACACGTGGACTGCAGTGTTGTCATAGGGTTGACACTTCATTCGTGGAAATAGCGTCGAGAAGTAGTAATTTCATTCAAAACAATGTTTTGCTCTACTTCTATTCTTTCCTATAGAATGAATGAATAATTCAACCGGATACACACTATTTTTAATTTTTTTTNTTTTTTTTCAGTTGATGTTGCCCAAAAAAAGCCTAAGTATGTTAAATGCTTCTCGAATATAGCTCATGGTACAATGAAGTACTCTAGCGTGACTAGCATGAGTGAAAGACATACACTAATAAAAAGGTTTGCATCCTTATCACGGAAACATCAGCACTTGAGAGATTTTCAAAAAAGGAACTAAGGAAAAGTGAAAAAAGACCAGATTTCGTTCACTTCAACATAGACATGAAGGAAAAGACAACAAAAACAAAACCTGAATGAGTCGGCTGACTCTTTATCGCAATATTCCAGGACTACTGCTAAGGACTAATCGGTCCACTGACAACCGCTATCCTGTAACCGTAGGATAACGCGCGACGCGCGAGGACGATAGAATCGGAGTGCACCAAATCGAAAAAGGTACCACACTTCAAGTTACTGTTTTATATAGAGGAAATGAACGGATGGACGCTACACTACCCTATTTTCTGATGATGCTCGATAGTGAATGATGAGCTGTGTTAAGGCAGGCGTGCGGCTAGAACAGACAACAATGATGCATGCATGATGTGACCGAGGAAAGTTGAGTCATACATAGAGAATTATTGTGGAAGACGCAATCAATGGAGCACAGGATGCTAAACAACAGGAAATTGTAGTCATATAGAAGTTCCGGGGACGTGTATGAGGTACCTAGTGGAAGCATGGATCAATCAAACTTTAGCTCGTAAAAGATCGGAACTAAAATAGAGGCGCGAGGGCAGGTGGATAGGCTTTAAGGCTGCAAACAGTTGAACAGAGCGCAGCAACCACAAATTTTCGACAGTGACTATAGGTACAAGATGATTTGGGTTGCGTTAAAGGGCCGAAAGATCTATCTAGTGAATTTAAAGCTCTACCTATTGCATAAATCTTGTTATTCCAATTAAAAAAGACCCATACTGAGTTCTTCAAATGAGGAAGCACATCCTGTCTAGGAATATATATACTGGCGCTTATTAAACTGAGAATAAGCTCCAATCATCAAATCAATCTCCTTCTCACAGTGGGTTTGTGATGTCATTTAGCACTTACGGCTGCCACAAAACTGCATTAATAGCCACTACCCCATAAGCAGATTTTCTTCGATACATCTCTTTATGAACGGCTGTAACTATAACAACGCAATAATCCTAGAGCAAAAACCAAATAAATGCGTCATTACCGCACGTACACCACGGAGATCTCTTAACACCTCGAAACATCCGCCAGAGGAGGATGCCATCTTGCGTAGACCACCACTTAGATAATAGCACGATTTCTTAATTCTGTCAAAATAATATCATGCAATCCCGATTTGACGCTTGCTGTCCGCGTATTGATAAAAATAAATCAAGAATAAAGGTCTGCAGCACATTTTCAAAAAAAAAAAAGATGTCAAAAGAAGAAAGTTCATGTTTTGATCAGTAGGAGCAAAACCTTGAGCTTGAAGAAATAAAATATTTGATCAAAAAAGCCCACAATCATTGCTATTTTCGTTTTCATACAGTTCCTCTCAAATGAAACAGCTGTCTAGAAGGGGGAAAAAAACCCCGTGCTTAGGCGCTTCGGGCCAGATGAACGACGGTGGAGCAGAATTGATAGAGAATGCTTCAAATCCCAGTGAAAAATCAACAACCTTCTGCCACCGCTTTACGTTGACCAAACGCTCGATGCCATCGTCGACGAAAGGTCACACCGAACAGTGGCGTGCGGAGCACCACCACGCGATTTCGAGATGATGATCACGTTTGAACCGTGGAAGGTTCTGCAGTTTGAAGTATTTCACCAATCCAGTATGGTGTATGCACGCTTACGTATTATTTTCCGAAGTATTCATTTATTTCTGGGTGGTGGGTGGACTTTTAAGATATGTCCGCCTGCGGAGGTAATTCAAACCGAAAACCTTCCAATGTCATTGTAACGCCATACAAGATCGCTCCCAGCCACCTGCGCGGTGTGAACTCACCTCGACGGCGGTAGAATCGAGTTCTCGCTAAAGTACAGTCGTATTCAAAGCGCACCCCACTCCGTGCTCGGTGCTGGCATAGTCACATGACTGTTGTATCACAGAGGACGGGGCCGTTTGGCGTGGACTTTGCTGCTCGACCGCCACTGGTACACGTTTTGATCGACGAGTCGCTGTCCGAAGAGAATTCGCGATACAGTCACTCCACAGTGAACTAGGAGGGATGCCAGTCGACGAGAAGAACCTGTCAAATATAAGATGCAATGAAGAAAGGCACAGAGCAAAGACACAGGAGGAGAAAGAATTGCTGCACTCTAACCCCTCCCCCTCCCACCAACGCAGATTACATTTCGTTTTTGTTGAGGGTGGGGTGGGGTTAGGATAGCGAATTAACAGCTTTGAACTACTTGGAGGTCCTTAACGACGACCAATCATCCGAAACATCGACCGGACCGTTCGATTGCTCGGCTGAGTACGGTAGAACATTGCAGTACATGCTCACTCTTCAAAAATATTGAATGTAGACAGGTGAGTACAGAACCACGAAACTGACTATATAAATTCTACCCAAAACTGCAATGGGCCTTTCGGCCCAACAGGGATACCATTCTTTCCCCGACAAGTCTTGTACGAATTTCTCGACCTGGAGAAATAGACGGAACGGTTTTCGTGGGCGGATATCGATCTGAGCTTTGGTTTTCGGAAAAGAATATGGAATTCTTCTTTCACTGCATTTCCATTTCCACCACAATACAGATTCTACCGAATGGCATACTGCTTCGAAACCTCGGTTTTTCCTTGACCGAACCACCGAATGATGAACTAAGATGTGCGAAGGTAAGAAACGTTCTGTTGCACTCCGATGGTGGAGGAATGGAACCTGATGAAGTAATAATCGAATTGGACGGTCAGCTGTCAGAGGACCTCCAATACCCACTGAACTTCCGACGCAAGAAAGCTGTTGGAGGACTTAAAAGATTAGCTGCTGTCTCCGCCCCGAGAGTGCAGTTCGACAAGGAGGTTAGTGCACCAATGAACTTACACCACCCCAGGAAGATGGTTTCAACATGTGCGACTTTTCGAATAGCCTTTTTTCGTTGCCTTGTGTCGGAATAGTGACGGCCGAGCAGAAAACTGATATATTACTTCGCATAGTCAAACTATTAATCAAATTCGCTCGGCGGTCACGTGAAGTTCCCTCTGCGACTTCACCTAATCAAAGGTGTGGAGAAGCGCAATGCTGAGGAAAGGATGAATATCCTAGACGCTGATCAAGAAGTGCGGCATACAGGTTGATCGTGTAAAACGTAGTGTTCTACCCAGAGCAAATCCCTTCCCCGGGACGTTCTTCTATAAACTCTCGATGATATAGCCGCAGAGGCCAATCCCAGGAGACAGCCGGAAGCTATTGTTTTTACTTGACTCTGTGTCAATCATCCCTGTTCCTACCCTCCTGTTGTCCAGGTCGTTCAGCTAATGGCCCATTGCCAGGTTTTACTCTAAACGCAATGCACGCAGATGAGCAGAGCGGTGCTCATATTCCAAAAAATGAGCATAACGAAAAAAATGGCTTCGTAATTATGAACATAGTGACTGTTCTGTCAGGAGTACAACACGCACAAAGGCTTCTTTTTTTTGTCTGGAAAAGCGAATATAGATGACCTTCACAGAGTTGGCCACCTTTCACACTTTGGGCTGGCCTGTGTGCGAAAAAAATGAAAGTAGGAGACAAGATGGGTTGGCCTTAATCTGTCGACAATTCAACGCTTTCAAGTGGCTCAGACACGTCACACTAATCAACGCAACCCGCTAAACAGTTACGTGAAAGCTGTAATCGAGAAAGAAGCAGTACAGGCATCTCAAAGCGCTTTAACGGGACGTTTCTCGCCTGTGCCCTTTTGCCCTTCGTCCAGTGTCAGTCGGCGCAAAGTATAACGGCCTCCAATCGAGTCGTGCTCATCTTCTACTTGTCTGCACCCTCTCGTAGCGTTCTGGGGCGTCCCACTGAGTATTGTGAGATCCTTTTCGAGGTGATTTCATGCTGTTATTGACACAACATTTGGTTGAGGTGTGAAAGAAAGCCTCACTGGCCTGCACCAAATGTTACCGAATACCGTCCCAGCGAGGTCCGGGTCTCCATCCACACTCACACCCACACCCAAGTCAAACAGCTTAGGAAACTCACTCTACATTCTCTCTACGAAGGCGAGGTAGAGCGAGCAAGTGCAAGAGCACCAAATTACTATGTAGCTACAAATTGCCAATTCTATGGGAATCGGATCAAGCCCCATTAGCAGAAAACTTGCAAGTGGCCTGAAAACACAGCAGAAGGCAGCAAGACAATTAATTTGATGGATATTACTCCGCTGACCAAATATCGTACTTGTTCGTTTTTTATGGTTCGAGCTACAATTATGGATTCGACTGTCATGTAGTCTCTACGTTCGGCTTCCTCTGATTCTAAACATAATATAATTACGGTAGAATGTTCTCGCTTCCCCGAGGGAGGTACGAAAACATTATTAAGCCGACGTTTCGGCGAGATCCCCTCTTCAGAGCCCGAAGGGAAAGCAATTCGTGTCTACTCGACCAAATGTTTACGTTATACGACTGAAGTTGAAGACTTGTAGGTTCAGAATCAGAAAGGAAATCGAAATTCTTAACAAAACAAAACATTCAAAGGTTTTGAACACCGGTGAGCAATGAAAAATGAACATGTCGGAAAAGAACTGCAATGACGGAGAGCAGGGCCTTCCGTTTCCGTTTAATGTTGGTCTCAGTGCACCAACTTTGATTATGAGGTGAAACCAACGCTGTGGCTAATCAAGCCCTCGGATTCTGACGGGCGTCGAGGATTTTATCGAGGTGGGTGGCTCCACTTTAATTACCCATTTGCCATGGCAGGTCTCGACGAGCACAGTAGGGATGCTTAGACGTTTGGTAGAGTAGATACAAATGATCTGATCCTTTCAGGTTCTGAAAGGGAGATCCTGCGGAAATGTCATTTCAACATATTTTCTCGACTATTTTCGGGGAGTAACGAAGAAAATTTCATGAAAATTCCAAGAGGCATTGGAGACATCACAAACAATATGATAAAGACTTTTAGCGATGCGAGCGCGGTGATTTCAGCCAGTAAATGAAAAGTTATTCCGATCAGAAGACAAAAATGAGTCATTGAAGCTCAATTTCCGCCTAATTTACCACCATACTGAACTCCCTAGGCAAGACCTCTTAGAAGAACTCCTAGAGGGTGTGGGTATAAAAGAAAATAGAAGTGCCTGCTGAAGCAGCCAAAGAGTGACTGAGAAGGAACAGCTCAACGAAGGCAGTCCACGATATCGATCGCGCCTCTGACAATTCGCTGCGTATGTTTGCTGAATAGCAGCGCAGCGCCACACGTTTCGCGGTGGAGGGCCGAGAATGCGAGGCGGTGGAAAGCGTGGTGCTCACGTGCGCCCCCAAGACGCTCCAGTTCGTCTCTCCTGCTCGCCCCCTCCCTCTCCCCTAGTCTGACGATTGCTGCTATCACCTTCCTGCTCAATGTCCAATCGATTATTGGTGATCTGGGGATGTCTTCCTTGCATGCGGGGGTGCGCATTTCTTTGAACTTGCATCGCTATCGCACTCACCCTACTGATCGATCGTTCGTCGTTTCTCATTCGTTTTTCAGCGACCAGGGGATGGAACCAACTCAACTGGTTTTTCGTTGGCTATTTGCTCTGTTGGAGTGCTTCTGCACATGTGACATGTTGCGGAAGTTTTTGCGAGTAATTTCGAAACTTCCTTCCTTCTTAGTCTTCAGTCTTGTTTCTAGTAATTCCAGAATTCTCAGCATGTAGCCCACCATTTTAGGTGGGTATTTCATGTTGCTGCTTTTCTGGGTGGTTTATGAGCCCTCTTCTGGGAAATGTTCTCAAGTTATGTTGTTACTAATGTTTGCGATTGTTTTTGAGTTAGTGCCGTGCACGCGATTGATTGGGTTCTGTAATGGTTAATCAATAAGTTTCATGAAGAATTCTTTTTTTNTTTTTTTGTCTGTCTCATTTATACAAAAAGCAAAAAGGCATATTATCTAAAAGCTTTGCTCGTTTGTGTTGCTAATATTAGAAAACTGGTCAACTAGGCTGTCATTCTAATACTGATGTATCCCTGAGTTTGTTTTGTCAGTTCAGTCCGCCTGCAGCAACGTTTGGGTGAAGTCTACAGAACCGTCTCTGATTATTTTTTGATATTGTGTTTTGTTTCTGGTGCTCTCTTTGGAATGCTAGCATGGACCGTGCGCTCTGAGCGATAGCAATGTGAAAATCAAAGGAAGGTGCACAAGAACTGGAACGTTTTATGGTAGTTTTTATGGCCACCGATAGAAAGTTTCGGCGCCAACCAGCTGTCATGCCGAGTGGGGCTGCCAGCTGCCATTGCTGCCTCGTTCTTCCAAATGTTTTGCGTATTTTTCGAATAGTTGCAGGCCAAATGAAACATGTCTGAGCTATAGCTGATAAGCTTTGCTTCCCACTTATAGGGAGTCAATTATTGTGTAGCATTGGGCTTTTGGGAGATCATAGTACTTGTACAATTTCGTGCTTTGTCGTTACAAAGCATATATTGCGGTGAAGATTCGTAGTAGTTCCCGTTCGAAGTAGCTTTCTAGTAATCATTTATATGTTCGTAGTTGGTTGATGTTTGTGCTGACTTGGCGTGTTCTTGCGTTTTTGATCTTTAGCTTTCAGCGCGAACGTCCTCTTAAGCATTCGCAATTAATTTCGATCGGCAAGTCCCCTCATCCGCTTGTCGGATGGCGTTCGCCTGCCGTTCTCGATTACGCCGCCGCCGCCGACTGCCTTGTTCATTGACCACATCGAGCGACTGTTGCAGGTCCAGCGAGCGAGATTGAGCTGCAACGGCTGCATTCTTTTGTCGTAGTTCTTCTCCAGTAGCGCCAGTTGAATTCTTAAGCGTTGGGATTTTCTCGATAGGTATTGCCAATACGATCTCATGATTCTCCCAGTTGTTCAAGAACTGTGTGCTAAAACTTACAGAGCGTCTTCGCTTCCCTCTAATCTACTGACCATTCGTTTTACTCGATAACCAGTACCTTCATAGATGCAGAAATATTGCCTCCAAAGACTGTTCGAGATCAAATGGACGAATAAGATTTTCTAGTGTCTCCCCATGTGCACGATTCCAAGGAATACGTAGGTTAGCATATAGTTCACAGTTTGCAGTGCCATGAACGGTAGAAGATTGTTAGTTATGATTGGTATCAACAATTGTCATAGCGCTGAATGTGTTCTTCCGTATCCATCATACCGTAGTATTGTACAAGAAAGCTTAAAATTCATTACTTGCTCAATCATGCCACAAATCGATGCTGAACACTATCGATTGATTAAAATCACCGACCAATTGGTAGCGATGGAGACGAAGTATACTATATGTTAGAGCTACATATATTGTGTTAACTTAGCAGTGGTCTTGGCGCTATAGGCGATCTTTCTCTTGGAGATGTATGAGGTTAATCAAGCGAATTAAGACGTAATCATGTGATTACACTAATTGTGCTGACAAGGCTTTTTATGTGAAGGTCCATTTTTCATTAGCATAACTACAATATCTCTTTCATACTTTGCGCTAACCAATTGGGTGTGTGCACAAGGTGATGTATGAGTCATGCGCAGCGGCTGAGTGATAACTTATGCTGGTATTTAATACGATCCATACCTGATCCGTTCCATTTTGCGGAAGATTTTGGTTTTTCACATTATTTACTTTTCTTTTGAAGACGAAACTTCCAATGCTGTTGAGCTCTTTCTAACCAGAAATGTTGTGGGGTTTGGGGAATGAACTTGTCTGGGACAAGAAAATGGGGCACCGCCTTGTTCTGATTTGCAGTCTGTTTCGATAGGGTGAATCCCTTACGATTCCTCTTTCGCGCTGATCTCTGGCTTGATGCGATAGATTTCGCATTCTCCCACTGATTCCCGTCCCAATGGTCCAACCAATATCTATGCCAAAACCCTCATATCGAAGAATGGTGTGCACTGTTTCCCTTTTNCTGCTTAAGTGTAGGGATGGCCAATGCTATTTCGTGCTTGTCTTGGCTGTTTTTCAGGGGTATTGCTTGCCCCCTTCGCACATTTCTCATTGTCCTCTGCACTGATTCAACTAGAACATGCCTTAAAACTCGAAGATCTTCTCAAATGCAGGGGGTTGAAATGAACGGGGACTCTTCGCTGCAACGTTTTCTGTAGATTCGAGATTATTTCAGGAAGTCTTTAAGTGCAGCGGTATGTCGAAAACTAGTCGAATAAGAAGCTAGGAGTTCCTCACGATTCAGTTCACCTCGCATAAGAGGGTTTATGAAGCCCAGTTGGTCTCCTGATCTGTGCGTGAACCGATACTGGTATTGCGTTCAAAGAATTCGTGCCTTTCGAAGAAAAAAATCCAAATCAGCATCAACGATTCCCTTCGTGATCCTAGCTTTCCCTCGTTTTCGAAAGATTTCGCTTATTATTTGCTTTTATACGAATTGCATTGACTCTAGAATGGAATCAGAAAGCACGGGAAGTGCTTCCTTAATTCCTTAAATGTACCTTGTAGCCTTCATCAATTCCTACAATCGTGTTAAGGATGGGTGTAGATCCATCCCTCCCTCTATCTTCTCCGCTTGAGGTTATGTTACATTGTTAACATGTAGCCTCTTAACTTACCTGCTTCCTCGAAATCTTCTTCACTGTTCCAATAATGAACTCGTCATCAATGTAACATTTGCAGAATAGAATACTAATAAGTAATGATGGCTCTTCGAGGTGTTCCAAGAAGATAACTGCAGGTGTTTTATGATTAAACACGGTGTTGCACTTTCTCACTGCTTCGATAACAACCTTAACTTTGCTAGCGGAAAACCCAATCTTTGTGGTTCGATCTTTATCATCCTCGATGAAAGATAACTCATCTTGCATTGTTCCCACACTCTTCACCTTCATCTCTGAGGAGACCACGTCTGAGCTCTCTCAAATTGCCCTTCGTGTTATTAGCGAAATAAATTCTTCAACATTAACAATGTGTGCATGCGTATCACAGAAGCAGCGAAAGCAAACGAGCTAAAAGTCACTTCTGCTAGTCCTCTACAAAATGCAAACTGACCTCCTGATCCGTCAAGTGGGAGGGTCATTCTGTTTGTGGTTCCCGGAATTTTGGAATTTTGTTCGTCTTCCTCAGTAAAGAGTGTCTACTCTATTAGGACCGTTTTGCCACTCCAGGTTGTTTCTTTCACCTCTTCATTATAGGCGCTACAGGGTTCTTTTCCTGCTCCCTGATTCAGAATGGACAAAGAGCTATTTTCGTACATAGTGGTGTCTAAAACGCCTGGAAAGATAAGAGCCTTACCCAAAATTGGTGAGATCACATGAAATACAGTGGCATTGCTTCTAACGGCGTACCTCAACGCAACAACGCTATCTTCGCTTGCAGTAGTTGCGTTCAGTCAGGGTTAGGTTACTACGATAAGTTCATTTTATTGGTAAACCCTTTGAATTCTGCGCTCGAGGTTTGCTGTTTCAGAGTTGGTTTGGCTTAATGATGGTCATATTCTCATGAACTTTATGAGGTACTTCTCTAATGCTTTCGTTGGTACATTTTACTCTTCATCGGTTGCTCGTCGTTCCTTTTTTCGGCTTTTTTCACAGTAAAATTTCAGTTAATTTCACTCTTCCAAATAGTTAGAATAATTGGATCGGAACGGGATCGTAACGTAATTTGTTATACGTAAAAGGCTGAAGCTTAGCAGGCCTTATGGGCTTGAAATCCCATCATAATTCGTGGAGCTACGGCATGTTCTTCAGCCACGCCTTGTCACGCACGTCGGCATTCCTGTAGCCGGGCCCAGAACAAAGTATGAAATCGATTAGTGGCGATTCGCGCTACTCATCGTACTCTCGGCCTTCTTTCGAAATTCCCGAATGTCTTTTTCAGCATGTAAATTCGACTTTATGATTGGCTCCACGGCGGCAGAATATTGTACATGTGACTCTTAGAAACTCGATCGGTTTCTTTTCAAGTGCTCTCGCTATTTGATTGAATGGCTTGTTTGTAACTACCACAACTGCCAGTACATTTTCTCGAAGTTTTTTTTTATGTTTGTGTAAGTATGTTTCTAATTTCTGGAGAATCTCGTCCGTTTGATTCCATGAACTGGTCTTAACCATTACACTATGAAACCTTAGCAGACCATGTTCTCTTATCTTTTCCAGAAGAGTGCATTTAGAGGTCGATTCTTTGTCAAAACCCTTCTTCTGATTGATGCGATGGCATCATGTTTGTTTTGAGGAAGTGCATTTGGACTGGTGGGTTGCAGCAACATTTTAACTGGTCTCAAAGGTGTACGTCCTTCTCCGTACCGTAGTGCGTTAAAAATATGGCCGCTCTCATTTGGTAGGAGTCTATTTCAACGCAATTAGCATTTCGTTGAGTAAGCTTGATAAGCTACTATCCCATTCAGGGTTAGCAATAACGGGCTCTCGGTTGAATTTTACATAACCTAGTCGCCTGTGGTTCATTTCAACCTTGAAGTCATTCAGCCAAGTGGAACGCTGAGGCACTTTCGTACAAAGTTGATCTAGAAGGTGCATTGGACTTCTTATTTCATTCATTGCTAGGCTTTTCTTGTTGCTTGGAATCTTTCTTTACCTGTAGAGGAAAATCATTTCTTTAATGCCCAATCATAGGCTAATGGCTGTCTAGGAGGGCAGCAAATATTTGCAGAACATTCTGTTCTTTAGTGTTTGTAGAAACCCACTATCAAAATGCGCAGCGGAATGATCGTTAGGGCCAGGATTACAGCTCATGTTTTTCTATTATAAACTATGTGTAGACTTCTTCAAGTTCTTATTAGGTTAAAGTCTTCGGTCATTTCTGCTCGCCCAGAAAACTCGTTTCAATGAGGCTATTTCGGTCTAGCTATCCAACTTCCATTCTTGTGACTTCTTTGTGTAGTTTGTGATCCGCTTGCTTGGTTTCATGCTATTCTGTCTTGGGAAAATCCGAGCGCTTTCGGGCTATCGTTGCGGAGGTATGTGCACTGCCAGAGCCTTAAACAACCCGAACTAACTTAAGGAACTCTTCTCAGCGTGGAATCGCAAATAAGCTGTTTTTTTCTTCAAATGTGCTGTTAAGGAATGTCGTCTTCTAAAAGGTTGAGAATTATTTACTCTATATTTTATATATGTGTATTTGTTTGCTCATCTCCAATATTTTTCTCTGCCACTGCCATTTCTCTATTACAACAGCCACTATGATTAATACGAGAAGAGCCTTCAGACTACCTCGAATTGAATACCTCGCCTCGAGAACTTTTGGCTTCGCCGTTTCTCATTATTTGTTTCGAGTCAACTCTCCTCGTATTGTTCAGTTTCACATCTTAATCGGTGACATGTCGGCAGAATTGGACAATCATAGATGTTCAGTGTATTGGAGGGTTTAAGGTCTTCCCTCAAAATGGAAGCTGAAGTTTCTGGGGAAGTATTGGTTTTGATTATAGAATTTTTGTAGATGAAGGAAACATGAGTTCCTGTGAGGCCCCGACAATCTCGGAGTCTCGCAGAAAATCAGTTTTGCTACGGAAAATTATGAGAAACGAGAGTGAATCATTCACTGTCAGGCATTTAATCTACACACAGAATCTGCATATTTTCACATCAGGGAAGCCGATCCGTATTCCTTCCGCTCGTTCTGTATATCGTGGGATGAAGGTGCATACGCACGTATGTGTACGACGTGACAGACTGGCGTCCCCATTCTCTCCTTTTCCTTCTGATTCAACGATGTTCAAAGCATTGATTGAGTTCTGCCTGCACATTACTAGCTGATGCTTCAGTGTGCGGTTATGGAATTGAACTTCGCTGCTGCTCATGAACTTGCTTGTTATTGTACCAGTTTTTCGCGTTCGTTTTTGAAAAGTTTTCATACGTCTAGAGGGACATTCAAATTCCAGGGACATAGTTCATGCTTGTTCACACTGAACGCGGTATAATTCTTCGTTGAATTATGGATGCTGTCGTATTTTTGGCGTTGGCTGTCCTAGCAGCTGTTTTCATTGTGTCACTTCTTGTGCTACTGGTGATGTGTCAAAGACGTCGTATGCAAATTAGAAGTTTCAAGGTGGGTTTCCATGAGTACTTTATTCGGTGCAATCCATTGGTTTCTGCTGCTCCTTTGTTACTGCTGCTTTACTTGTACTGATTAAAGCTGCTATTGTAGCTCGCAAGCGCCACAGCAGGATTTTCAAAGCTACGTAATGAGAACCTTGACGGCCATATTATGCAGCTAAGTCCTCTTATAGGTGAGTCAATTCTGATATCGTGCTATTGTTTATTTCACTATTAATGCTCGATCAGATGTGGTGAAATGAGTTCTGCCCGAATCATTCTAATGAAAACGTTTATTGGGTCTTCGTGTCGGTGTACTTCATACCCGTGGCATGCGTTACATGCATTCAAATCTCAGTTTAAATAATTAATGAAAACTGGACTCTTTTTTATTTGTACCGGCAGGTGGACTGCACGAGGTTTCGAGATATGCTTTTTCGATACCGAAGAACTTCCGCCTATATGTGCGCTAGCGGAAAACGTTAATCACGCGATGTTGTGCATTTTCATTTAAGGGATAGCTCGGGTATTAGGCCAAACAGTTGTTACTTAGTGCTCTTATTGTCCCTTCAAGCATTTTCCATTTAGTCCATAAATTTCCAGAAAACGCCTTCAGATACAACGTCAGCCTTAATAGTACATATAGTCCATATTCAAATGTGGTCATGTGTACGTTCTTCTGAGGTCGTAAACCCTGACAGAGCTTGAGGAAAAGTTGGCGTTAGATAGTAAAATGTCTGACGACACCATTCTGATATGATTCATTGGTCAAAAGTGGTTGGTTTGTAATTAATTGGTGGTTGAGAGAGAGAAAATCAACTAGGAAGCCTTTTTATGGTAGTCATAAATGTCTCAGTTCTAAACTGGATTATTGCATTCTTGGCAACAAAGGGCTCAAAGAATCATAGTAGTTGTTCAAAATTGAGCTATCTGAATGAATTTTCGATGCTTTGTGGGCTTTCGATCAAACCGCGAGTAAGTTCTTAATAAAACAAATATTAATCCATTACACCCTGGCTAAACTTCTACGAACTTTGTTCTTTTTGTCATGTCATAAATATAGGGTTGTTTGGCTTGGATGGAGTATAGTCTCGGTATCCCAGGACCGAATGTAATAGTGCGCCACTGCTACTATACCACCTCAGCCCTCATTTGAACAATAACTTTGGACAAAGGGAAAGTTATCGTGGATATTTCGTAGTTGAATAATGTAATCTACTAATGCTGATTTAGCGGTAGGTAGAAAGTATCTCGTCACGAATTCTAATATTGTATTTGTAGGTCTATTATTCACTTATCACCTTTATACGTCAGAGAAAGCAGTAGGATTATTTCGAGTTTCTTAATCTTAAGTTTTCATTCACATGACATAGCTAGTCCGTGGATATGGCTAATCTTCAATTATCTTTATTGCTAAAGCACGAAAGCGTTCATGTGCTTCCCATAAAATAATTGCTTGTTTCTATGGAAACAAGCTTTTCTCAGCAATGTGGAATGGGATGACGGGACTTGCCATTGTGTTTGCATGGGAGTAGAAGAATGATTAGCACTTGTGTGTGATTTTACATTACTACATTTGAGTATTTAACGAACGGTAAGGAACGATGCGGTTGCACCACTTGATCTTACGAAAAAAGATTCCAATCGGGCGTAGTGATATTTTGCATTGTCTCTCATGGGCGGAAGTGGTTTAGTGCCAAGTGGCGTGCTATGGTTTGAGGAATGGATCCTGGATTAATGCCCGCACAGGTCAACCAAGGCTTCCATCTTTCAGAGTCTGTCAGTTGCTACCAGCCTTGTCTGTTACGAAACAAATACTGGCTTGTACATCGCCTTGCCACCGCTATTCACACTATAGGTCACCTAAGCATTCAAAACGTTACCACGTTCCTAAACTGAAGTTGAATTCGGGGTTGCACCCCAAGACAGGATTGTTCAAAGCTGAAAGCCCGCACCCTTTTTCTTTAGATTATGCATGAAAGTTCGTGGGGCAGATCGGGGTTAATAGTCTCGAGTCTCCCTATCCGCTAGTGTTCTCATGTGATTAATCAAGTGAAAGGAATTCATGAGCCTCATGAGGAGGCCGTGCAAGTAGTGCTCAGGCAGAATGAAGTTCATGCTCTTGGGACAAGGTAGAGTTGAGATACTTAGATTGAATTGATTACGTTTATAAAGTTGGTTCCTTCACTAGTTGGAGCTTCTGTTGGTTTGAAATTTTGCTTTTCATGGAGGTAAAGAAAGCAAGTTAGGTGGGATCCATTTTTTTCGTCACTGATCATGAGCATACTGAAAACATGGGAAGACAGTTCTAATAGATACTTATTTTTTCACAACTGTGTATTTCTCACGAATAGTTCCTATAGATTTCAGAGATTCGAAGGCTATCATTGAATATATTACAAATAATACAAATAATAATACAAAACCTGTAGTATGACGTTCTACACTCGGAGTATGCTTTTTGAGTACTGTGTGTGACATTTGTTCGGAAGATGGAAATTCCTTTCTTTTTTGAGGGAACTACCCACATCCTTCCGGGCTGCCTAGAACTGCTCAGAGAGAGTTCCTTACATTCACTCCCACAGTGTGCAAATAAGCATTTCAAAAATGTTCTCACGTGTTGGGAAGTCTCTCCGCTCAGGGATGAAAAAGAATCTCAGTTTGTTGTGCATGTGTCACTAGAATTGACGAGCTGTTTCAATCGACTCAAACTAATAGATGACGAATAATAAGGAATGCGATCAAAGTGGTAACATAACGCCTAAATGGAATAGCTCATAGCCCTTGTCAGTGTTTTTCTTTTATTCCTGCATTTCTTCCATGTTAGAGTTGTCAATATATTCGAAATTCTATCTGGTCCGGCCTACGCAGGTCATTGCGCAGGCCAGACCAGATACAACTACCAATATATTGAGGCTGGCCAGTTCAGATATTGCTAATCTCGGAACGGGAAATGAATTGGGCGTAGTCTGTTAAGCAGATCGATCGCGATCGACGTTATTATTATCTAGATTTTTTGAAACTGTCGCGATATGCCAGCTCCCGAGACCGTTTGACCACACTGAAGTATTTAGGCGTCGCGGAAGATTTTGGCCTGCCTTAAATGGAGTTTTTCTCAGACATGGCTAATTGCGACAGCTTTTTGTGCATTAATGTGAGTAGCTCGGCCTGACACAATTGATCCGCTGTTCAGTAGCAAATCACGATCATACTGGGCCAAGGACTGTCTATGACTTCTTCTGTGCTCATGATGAAATACATCATTTGCTCTTTGCGGCATAAAACCCAGTCACTGTTTTGGACCACATTCCCTTGTGTCGTAACGAAAATGCTCGCCACATTCTGCTAAATCCTGACAGAAGTTTCTTTCTTTTCCTAACGTTTTCGATTTCATACAGTTGCTTGTCAAGATTGCCAAATCAGTGTTACTTTTGAAATGACGCCATACCTACACTTATATCTAACAACTTGCTTTAGAGAAATACGGGCTGTAGGGCCTTTTTCCTTGCCAAGGTCTCCTAATATATTGGAATAGGGTAGGTTTTTGGTTAATGTAATGGTCATCAAAAATTCCAAGTAATCGCCCTTTAGAATCGCTTTGTAAACCCTACGTGCGACTTTTAAGAGTTTTTTGGCCAACCGTGATTCTCAAGCATTGCGATGTCAGTGTTATGGCTAGCAGGCCACTATAATGCTGACACTAACCGGTTCCGTGGTCCGCATGAAGGTCATTGGCTGTGTGCCAGGATAAGAAACACCCATCTCGTCAGCAATAGCGAGCACAACTGAGGGGAAAGAGAGAGAGGGACAATGGTTAGCGCCTGTGACTGCCGAGGACGTCTCACGCTGGCAACCCCTCGTGCATCTCTGCCTTTGAGACGCTTCCTTTTAGATGGGGACTCTCTCAATATTCCCATGCGAGCGTCGAATGTAGGCCCATTGTATGAAAATAAATAGGTGCAATTTTTTCGAAAGTCCTTGAACTCGGATAATCTACAATTTCATGCAGAAATCTCTGCCTCACAATAACTTTGCTTGAACGTCGTATGAGGTGAATGGATTGTTGGGTATTTTTACATCATAGTCGGAAAAATGCCTTTTTTAAGATGATGCGAGATTGAACCTTGTTCGTATTGCATGTGTACGTAGTAAGAGTAGAACGAGCATGATCGCAAAAAGCGCATGGTTCCAGAGGCTTGTCGTATTTGGTGTTGAAGAAAGCGCGAATATTGAATAAAAAGTGAAGTCGAAACACTAATGAAGAGCAATGTCACATGTGACAAAAAATGGCGATGGTAGATGTTCTCAACACTGACACCGATTTCAGCTCAAGCCCTTGACAAGAATACATGGGTTTACGACGTCACTGGCCTTCTTCAACACTGTGTTGCTGTTCTTCGTCTTTGCCATCAGCTGACAGATCAGTTGGCTGCAGTGCCATTACAGCATGCTTCTCCGCAGCTGAGCCACATGCTGTGTCAGGCAACCTTGCGTGTGATGCCGAGATTTGATGATTTACTGAGCGCCGTGGCTAGCCCTGCTGTGAGTTTAAGTAATTCTGAAAGTGAGCAATTCTGAAATTTCGAATCTAACAGGTCGATATTCGTGTACTGGAGGCCCGTGCAATGGCATTGGCTACCGTATGTTGGGCCTTGTATCTGCCGTTCTCACTCATCAGTCAGAAATACAGGGAGGTTCGTATTAGCGGAACTTCTCTTCAATTTTCACCTACGTTGGCTGCTACAGAAGGGTTGGATTGGAGATTCAGTTTTTGTTGCTTTTAGGCGATGGGAGAGCCGTTGCAGCAGATGGATCGTCATCTAGATGCTTTACGTCATGCCGCAGAGATAGCTGAACGTGCTAATCTTGGGAACGTGAGTATATAGAAAAGTACTAAGATTTACGTTTCATTCTTGTCTACTTTCAATCGCTTTGTCTAATGAAGTGAACTAGTCTGATGAATATGGAGTTGCTTTCTTTTCTTGAGGACTTCCTTTTTAGGTTTGCTGTTTTAGCTACGCGCTCGGTCGCTTGCATTTGAGTTATGTTAAGCAGGGATACCTTTTCATCTCAGTGCACAGCTTCATGTATTATAGTAAGGGTTAACGCCGCTCTTTTGAGAGCATACTTAGGTCTGCAACAACATTTTCCCGGTTTCTGCGCTATTTCTATGTTTTCGTGTTACATTCATCGGAGTCTTTTATTTGTACATATAGGATGAGGGATCAACCATCTTTGTTTTCTCCCATTTTCTATTTCATCCTTTGACAACTTTTGTGCTGCATCAAAGAGCACTTCAAGCACTCCTTGAAAAAGTAAATGGAAATTCTGCTGTAGATTGGGCTTGCACATAGCCAACCGAGACCACAAAGTCAGTTGAGTAGAGAGTTGTTTTCGAAGTAGGCGGATGGGTGTTCTTTTTTTTGAACAGTAGGTTATTCTTGGTAAGGCAGCTAGTCGATGGACCACTCCACTTGGAAATGATATCCAGGGTAAACTGGATGTGTGTTCCAACTTGAGGCCTTGTTCCTTTGCAGGGTTCTTTCTCAGTATCAAGGTTTTTGATAGGTTTTGTGCCTTTTTTAGGGACAAGTATTGCTTCACTGATACTTCTACGGCCCCGATTCCTTCAGGATCAGGGTGTGTAATCGGTCCAATGTATCTCTGTTCGAATGGTGAAGCCTTACGTTTTTAGATACTAGTGTAGCACATCTGCACAGCTGCAGGATATTAAGAACGATCCATTGTAGTACCAAGAACATCCCTCACGTATAGGCGCGCATATAATTGTATTTGACACCAAAACGCGATCAACGGGGTCTCTCGAGTCGACCACCTCTGTTCTCTAACAGAAGCTTCAGGGAAAATTATTCTTTACTCCAAGTGCTTTGTGGATCAAATGAC